AAGCAAGGGAAGAATGTGAAGGTGCCGATTATGATGGGGACGGCATCGAATGGTATGTTTTTACCCCCCCTGACTCTCCGGTCTATTATCTACTAACATATTAATGCCTGTGATGTAGAAGGGACAGTCTTCACCCCCAACATCACCACCCCCCAGCAGTTCACCACCTTCTTCTCCAACAACTACCCTCTCCTCGCTGCCACAGATACCACCTCCGTTTTGTCGCGCTACACCCCTCCCAATTTCAACACAACCCCCTATTTCAACCCCCCTAACCGACCACCCTTCTACGGAGTCTTGGCAACCGCCTATGGAGAAAGCACATTCATCTGCCCCCAGACAAATGTCCTGAATTACCTCTCTGTTGACAACACTTCCTCCCTATGGGCATACCGGTACAACGTCCACGACGACGAAAACACCCGCGACGGGCTGGGGGTTCCCCACCTGTGGGATGCGGGGGCGATTTGGGGACCGGGAAGTCTCAATTCTTGGGATCGGACGGGGAGTTACAGGACGTATAACAAGGAACTGATCGAAAGGGTGAGGGGGTATTATTTTGGGTTTGTCAAGTATTTTGATCCGAATAGGGGGAGGTTGGGAACCGAGCCGGAGTGGGAGGGGTGGGTTGGGGGGAATGAGACCACAGGGAGGAGATTGCTGTTTGAGACGGAGGGGACGAGGATGGAGGTTTTGGAACAGGAAGAGAGGGAGAGATGTGGGTTTTGGTTGGGTTTGGGGGAGGGGAGGATGGAGCAGAGGTGATTTGAGGAAGGCGGTTTGTTGAATAGCAGCATAGCGATAGGTTTGTATTGATACAGAGCAAGGTTACTGACTTTTGAAGTGGTGTCTGTAGAGTGTTCTTGAACGTGTTGTTCGTCGTTGTTCCTAAATAGGGGGCAGAACTCACGTTGTGTCCCTATAACCGCTCAAAACTATGACCTTAAATATGAGAAATATGCCGTGCAATTGTAAACTTGATGAGCATCACAAAAATGCCATGATAAATCCCAATCGATATAAACAGTCAAACGCCCGTTGAAACACCATCCCAGCTGCTGGCAATAAAACACCCCGCAGTGTAACCCATGCGACCCAAAAAAAAAACACCAATAAACGCCACAGATGCCTTCCCTCAACCAAGAAACTTTCAAAACCGCAATGCATGCGTGCTCTCAGCCAATCATCACGTCATGTGTGCCATATACCCATTCTTACAACAAAACCCCAATAAACCCCATAAACTTCCCATATCTTGTTCCATCAATCTTGCAATCATTCCACTTCACTCCTCAAGCCGTGCCCCCAACGCTTTTACTCTGCTGCCCGGCTTGGTTCCCCTTGGAGTATATCCGAAACTGCACAAAAATGACCCCGTCCTCGACGATCGTCCCAAAACTCCCGAGTAGCCACGGTAGGGCCCTGAGGAGGTAGTCCCTGTCTTGGCTGTAACTCATCACGCTGGCTCCATAGGTGAAGTTGCCTGTTAGGGAGAGCAAAAAGAACAGCAGGGCCAAGCCTTCGCACGATTTCTCCTTGTAGTTTTTGATGATTTGGGGGATGCGCGCACTAAAACACGGGTTTTCTTTTGTTAGTGTCTGGATGTTGGGTCAGGAAAAGGAAGGCGACTCACCAGAGATAACAAACAGCCGAGATGTAGCCCAACACCATCCCGATAATCGCCTGTGGTTCAGCAGAGATGGGATCGGTGTCGACCGGAACGTCTGGGGAGTCCCATGCACCCATCCGGTAGGAGACGAACCACCCTGCTCCGCCTACCACCCACACGGCTAGAAGGGAGAGGGCGTTGTGAAGCCATGGGTTGGAGTCAGGGGTGTCGTCCTCGCCGGTTATGATTCTAGTCAACGGGTCGAGGTTAGACGAGCGGCGGCGGCGGTGGGTGGAGTGGCGTCTGTGGGAGCCGGGCAGGAGGGTCTGGGAGTCGGACCTGGGGCGGCGGTGTTCGGTTACAAGGGGTGTTTCCTCGTTGGCCGGGGTGTCTTCCACTGCGGTGGTGTCAGAGTCGGCAGAGGGGTGGCGGTGGGAGTGCCTGCGGTGACCAGGGTGGTGGTGGTGCTGTTCGCGTGCGCGCCGGCGGGCGTTGATGGTGTTGTAGTAGGTGCACTGGGTGATGAGGATCAAGTCGGCGACACAAAAGTACATGCCGAGAGCGATCGAGGAGGGGGCGAGGGAAGTCCAGAGCGCGCCAGAGAGGTTGGCAATGTCACCGAGGAGCCAGATGAGGAGGAATTTCATGGACAGCGCGTCGGCAGATTTGGACTTGTAATTTGCGATTAATTGCGGGAGGAGGAGGCATATCCAGGCCGTCAGAGAGACGCTGCCAAAGATTCCCGACAGGGCCTCACCGGCAGTGGGCGCCTGGAGTATCGATGGGAGGCTCATGATGAGGCTCGCCATGACGCAGGTTTTGCGATCAAGGGTCAGGTAGGTGTGTTTTCGATTAAGAACGATAAGGATTGAAAGGTAAGGAAATAGTTCAGAAACAGGTCATAAGCGTCGTCGAGGCCGAGATGTTGTCGGCAGCAAAGCTTTTACACCTTGACACAGAGGATCAGGTGAGGAGGTTTGGGGAGCTGTCACGGTCTGTGAAATCTGAGTCAAGTCTGTTAAGACCTCTCTCTGAGCGAGCTTATCGCCATGCCCTGGTCCAGTGAGATCTGCAGAGATAAGAGGGCCCCGACCCCGGAAAGGGTTTAAAGCTCTGCGCCCCCGCCATCCCCCACGTTGGTTCTTGCGCCTCTGGTTGGACCTTTTCGGCCTTGATCTGACTGCACATTTGCATCACCCGTCCAAGTCCCTGCAGGTATCACGCAGCTTGGACGGCGCGGCAGGCATTTTGACTTGAGCTGTGTGTGTTGTATTCCTCTCCAGACACCGCACCAATATTTCCAATGCCATGGTCGTCACCATCAAACGGTCATCGAGGTGCACCGGAGCCCCGCCGTTTCTTGGATGCTTTTGCGGGGGAGTAGCGTGCCAAGGGGTCGATTCTGGTGAATCTGCCCAGTCATCTTCACCTATTACGCATCACTGCCTGCCGGGAGCATGGATAGCCAACTTGGCAAGCTGCCGGCACTCCGTTCAGCATCCGATGATGTAGAGGATAAGCTTCTCAATTCAATGTTAGTCGATGACAAGTGCCGATACAAATGCCATTGTAGAGGGAAAAAGACTGGTGACCACTACAATGTCGAAGTTTGAGACTCGTGCTGTTGTGCTCAGCAATGTGGCACATGTGAGAGTTCCTCGACGTTGGACCCCTGTTGGCACCTGTTTGAATTGATTCGCTGGGAGGGTTCCTCTGCCAACATTTGGTGTGGGCGGCTGAGGCGGTCAGCCACCCAGCGGCTGCTCTGATCGGGTGTCGGGCATATCAGATGGACTTGCCACGGTCACTCATCCACCATCATCCAAGACATCTTGTGACAGTATATCATTTTTGCTTTGTGTAGCACGTATTCTGCATTTTGTGTATCACATTGTTTTGCTGGTATTTGCGTTCATTGCGTTGATAGAGAAGCACCACAGACACGATGAGGCTATCGTCGGTTGCAGTGAGCGCTGCAGCGTTGCGGGGGGCCTTGGCGTGGGGAGGTGAGTTTGTTTACTTTTGATGTCTCCATATCATTTTCATCCATGAGATGAGATGAGATGAGATGGAAGGATGCTGATCAGATGGACAACAGGCTTTGGTCACATTACCGTCGCCTATATCGCCTCCAACTTCGTCTCTGACTCCACCACCTCCTATCTTCAGACCCTCCTCCGCAATGACACCGGCGACTACCTCGCCGGCGTTGCTACCTGGGCAGATTCTATCCGGTACACCAAATGGGGCCGCTTCACCTCGGGCTTCCACTTCATCGACGCCCATGACAATCCGCCGACCTACTGCGGCGTAGATTACGACCGTGACTGCAAGAAAGAAGCCGGTTGCGTGGTCAGCGCTTTGCAGAACTACACCTCCCAGCTTCTTGACACTGAGCTTCCACTCTGGCGGCGAGCACAGGCAGCAAAGTTTGTGATTCACTTTGTTGGTGATATTCACCAACCGCTACATACCGAGGATGTGGCGAGGGGAGGCAACGGAATTCATGTTACGTTTGAAGGAAAAGAGCTGAATTTGCACCATGTGTGGGATACGAGCATTGCCGAGAAGTTGGTGGGCGGCATTCGCAGGAAGCCGTATCCGTTTGCGAAAAAATGGGCCGACGAGTTGACGGAGGAGATCAAGAGTGGGAAGTACGCGGCGGAGAGCAAGTCCGGCTGGCTAAGGGGGACGAATATCACGGATCCGATTGCTACGGCTCTAGGGTGGGCGGTTGAGGGCAATGCGTTGGTTTGCACTACCGGTAAGTTTTTGGTAACCTTCGAAGGTCAAAGACAAAAGCTAACATGTCTCGGTCAGTATTGCCAGAAGGCGCGGAAGCCATCGAGGGCCAGGAGCTGGGAACGGACTACTACGAAAAGGCCGCTCCTGTCGTCGAGGAGCAGGTTGCAAAGGCTGGCTTCCGGCTGGCTGCTTGGTTGGACTTGATCATCTCGAGCCTCAAGACTCTTGAGCTGCCAGCCTCGTCGGAGCCAGAGCCAGATCTGGATTCGGATGTGCCAGGAGACCTCTAGAAAAGTGTCTCATAGGTGGTACAACGAAGGATCCAGGATGACGGGTTAGGTGCGGTGATCGTGGCTTCGGTAGTTGAGACGGCATATTTCTCTTATTCATGAAACGATTTGCGTTCTGTCGTCGTCGAGAATAGTTCTGCCGAGAGCAGTGATCATCGGTGATATTCATTTTTGCATGATGGAAACCGTGGCCGCTGACCATCTCCGAGAATAGCCACATGCTGTGGATGTAGGCTGTGTCTGAACGTGCCGGACAACGTCATGACTACCCATCAATGGTTTGTCTTTGGCGTCAAGGGGAGGCAGCAGTGGGCTGTAGTCGTAGCGTAGCTAGAGCTCCCCGAGGATTCCAGCGATTATCTGTTTCGTTTTGGTGATCTTTCGTCACGGGCCTGCGGCAATTGCGACGGGTAACGTTGAGAAACTGGATGGTGCCCTGTTGCCTCGAGGATGAGAGCTGCCGATTCATCCGCTGTGACCTTCACGGAGCGTGCTGGCCAAGTGTCGGTTGCCATCCTCCATGTTTCTGTTTGCCAACCTCCTCGCTCCTATGTGTATGTGTCCGAGTGTCCGCTGTAGGACCGAGGCGTTGGCTCGGGGTCAGAGTTGCATCGTTTCATAGTGCACAGGCGGTGATTTCCTCCTAATGTTGCAGGCCCGGGAGATGTGAGGGGTCTTTTGTCTGTCTCATGAGGCTCAGGGGTTTGCTTCAAAAATCTTGGCACAGGGGACCCCTGTCTTTGCACAACCCCAGGTTTGTGGACACCTTTCTTATCTTATCGCGATCTTCCCGACGTCAGTCAGCGGCATCAGATCAAGATAAACGGAAGGATTGCTCTCTCCAACTTTGTACGACTTGATGATGGGAGCCACGGCCATTTATGTCCAACTCGGCCGAGTTGAAGAACGCATGGTCTGCTGTGATCCAACCTAGAGATTTGGGCTGGCTCTGAGCATTTTCGGGTCACCTATCTTCGACGATAGGGCCCCATTTGCTTGTCATCCAAAGTTGTTCATATAGGTAGGCAAGAGAGTTGGGATGGAAGTGGGACGAAACAAGTCGTTGGACAGGGCTTGCAAAAATAGGGTTGTTTCGATCGTGTTGCCACGGGATCTTTTTTGTCAAGGTTAGATTACAAATTTGGCCTCCCCCTTTCGCCGTGGGTGTCATTCTACAGTCGCATCAGCATCGATACCCCAGAAACCATGACTGATGAGGCAGGCACCAGGAACGACGGGGTCGGGACGGAAACAGCCTCAACGATTCAACTGTATTGAAATATGCAGGCCCACGGCTCGACACGCAGCTTATTTGCTCCAAGCTTCAACTTTGGACGAACTACCAAATGACAAGACCATCGAAAAGGGGGTGGCCTGGAAGCAAAGCTGTGCTCATCTGTCAGGATTGCGACTGTGAGATCCTATCCAGATATTTCGCTGTGGCGCTGTGTGTCATGAAAGGATTTCCAAGCCAAGGTGCTCATTAATTAGCTGCCTTGAACTGCTGGTCTCCGGTCACGGTCTTGGGCCGACGGGGTATTTCTTTTATGTTGAAATCTCCGTCGAATGTGACGTTGTCGATGTAATTCGTATTCTTCGGAACAGCCGTGCTGGATTTTGGTTGACCAAACGAAGCGGCTGACTTTTAGCGGTGTAATCAGCTATCTCCTATTCCCGACAGCTACAGTGACGAGTTGATGGAGAAGCAAAACAGCTTCTGATACAGATACATATAAGCAGGGCCCCATGCGCAGAGGAAATAGATGAAGATCGCACCCTCAATCTGTACACATTCTCCGAGCGGCTGTCGGTACGCGGCGGCGGCTCCTCCCTGTGCCGGCCGGCGGCTGATGGAAGGCATCTCTGTCGGAGTCGGGAGCCCGAGAAGCGCCTTCAAGGAGAAGTGAAGAATAAGTGGGGGATGAACTGACTTACAAGGAGGAGAACTCATGCTCGCTCGCTTGCGCTTCATCCCGAGACACAAGCTGCCCGATCGCCACGAAGCGAGGGCGCTGATTGGCCAGAGGCACAAATTGACATGGATGCCATTGGCTTTCTGGGACAGAAGCCGCATCAACTTTCTCGTAGCGTTTCCCAACCGCACGCACGGCGCTCCAGATGTAGATGCAGTTGGCGCCCAGCAATTTGCTCTGCTACACGAAAGAAGAAAGCCAGCGCTTTGTGTCCCCTCCAAGATCCGTACGGCCGCCATTTTCGTGTCCAAGACGGCCGCTGTGGACGGCGAGCAACTGGCCCTCCCGGCACTTGAAAAATCTGGGGAGTCGATGTGCAGGCGCCTCGCTGGCCAACTGTGAAGACCGCCAAATATTCGATGAATATTGGACAATGGCATGGCAGATGAGCCAATGACAGCTACCTTCCTGCAGTCAAGATCCTCCAAGAAGCCATATCTGCAAGGTACACTTTCCTCTTTTGTTATTGAGGGTGTGTGGGTGTGTGCCCCCCCCCCCTCCCTACCCCACGTCTGAGAGCCGCAGTTGCTGAGTACTGTTGAGGTTTGACATTTCTCCCGCTCTCTTGCAGAGAGCTGTCGGATTCCATCCTTTTGTGCCACCCTCCGTCAGACGGCTCTGACATACCCCCTTGCCATCCCTTTCTCTCTCTCCCTGCGTGGTGTTTTGGAATCGCGGAGCTGCCACCCCAGCATCCCTACCACCAAGCACCTCCTGCTCCGTCCTCCTGCCGCTCAGCTCGCCGTGCCCTCATCCTGGTCTTCCTGGTCCCGGGATGCTTGGCGGCAACGTCCCATGTCTTCTTTTTCTTCGCTGGAGACTCGCCAGGGCTCGAAACTGCTTGGCTTGCTGGGGTGTGAGAAACGTCGGCTTGGCGGTATCGTCGGATCGCCGTCGCAGCATCCACCCTCGCCAGCCATTATGCCTCTTATAATGCCCATCCGCGATTCTTTACCCCTCTGCTCCCTTCTTCTTCGACCATGTCCCCTTCTTGCGGCCTGTGGTGATTTGTGTGTCGTTTTACTTTCTTTCCTTCATTCGTTCCTTTCTCGCCCCTTGTGGGTTGTACATTCTCCGTCGACACTAGCTGTCGTTTACCATTCCTTAACGACTTTTCAACTTTTCTGACGGTCTGGTACCATCTGCGCTTACGATTTCCTTCCTCCTCTCGACGGTCCGCCGATCTACATATCTCTCTCTCGTTGTTAGAAAGTTCTCGACTCTCAAACGCCATCATGTTGATGAAGAACGCGGTAGCGGCCCTGATGGGTTTGGCCATGGTTGCCGAGGCGGCATCAGTTCACCAGTACGGAACCCCGACAAGGACTGTAGGAAGACGGCAGTTTGGCAAGAAGAACAACTTCGGAAACCGCTTCGGTAATGGTCAGTTTGGTGGTGGCCAGAACGGCCAGAACAACAACAACAACAACAATGGCCAGAACAACAATGGCCAGAACAACAATGGCCAGAACAACAATGGCCAGAATAACAACAACAATAACAACAACAACAACAACGGGGGGAACAACAACCAGGCGTCGGAGACTTGTCTGGCTGCGGCTGCTCTCCAGACTGGTTCTCAGTCTACCGGCCAGAACGGTGCCCAGGCTGCAGATGGTCAGGTCAACTCTGCTACGTAAGTTGTCAATGCCGACTTCATAAACTTTGTGACCTGTTGCGAGACCTGGAGGTATATTAACAGTTGATAAATAGTGACAATGCCAACTTCATCAACTTCTGCCAGGGCAAAACATTGACCAACGGTCTGCAAAACCGGGATGGCTCCTGCAACGGTATCCGTAAGTTGCAGTCTTCTCAGCTGTGCTCCAACCTCGATCAGAACTAACACTACACAGCAATGGGTGAAATCCCCTCCGCCAACCGCATGGTCTCGACTGTCATTCTCAACCCCAAGAACGGCGATGATCTCGAGCCGCTCACGACCTTCCAGATTCAGGTCAATGTCGCCAACATGCAGCTCGGCGCCTTCACCAATGCCACCAGCACCTACTACTCGGCTCCCCAGACCCTCAACGGAGGCGGCCAGATCATTGGTCACACTCACGTCACTGTTCAGGACACTGGCAACACCTTGAACCCCACCCAGCCCCTGGATGCCACTGTCTTTGCCTTCTTCAAGGGTATCAACGATGCTGGTAACGGCAACGGTCAGCTCGCCGCTGAAGTCACTGGTGGTCTCCCTACTGGCTGCTACCGTGTCTGCACCATGTCCAGTGCTTCCAACCATCAGCCCGTTCTGATGCCCGTTGCCCAGCGTGGTTCCCAAGAGGACTGCCGCTACTTCTCTGTTGGTGGTGCTTGCGCCAACAACAACAACAACAACAACGGCGGTGGCAACAACAACAACAACAACAACAACAACAACAACGGTGGCAATAACAACAACAACAACAACAATGGCGGTGACCAGGGCCAGAACAACCAGGGCCAGAACCAGGGCAACCAGGGGCAGGGTAATCAGGGGCAGCAGAACAACCAGGGCAACCAAGGTAATAACCAAGGCCAGAACAACCAGGGAAACCAAAATAATAACCAAGGCAACCAGGGCGCCGGAAATCAGGCGGGCGGAGGTTCGGGGGCCGGAAACAACGGCAACGGCAATAATGGCGGCAACAATAACAACAACGGAGGCGGTAACGCCGGTGCCGCCATTGCCGGCATCCAGCCCCCTCCCGTGACCGACTCTGGCAACGCGGACCGCCCGTTCGCAGTCAACGGTAACACCTTTGTGACCAGGCAGGAGGCTCAGTTCCGCGCCTGCGCCATCCAGAACAACGCCTGCGCCGGCGCCGTCAACTCTGGCCAGGCTCCTGGTCGCACCGTCCCTGACTGCAATGCGCAAGAAGCGGCTTGCCGAGCGGCTGCTTAAGTGTGCTTTGCGCTTGTTTCTCAGCCTGGTGCACACACACACACACACACACACACACCACCTCCCAACCTCCCCCTCACAGCGGTCCGCTCCTTTGGGACTTGATCTCCACGAATTCGGTCCTGAACGACACTTGAGTTTTCGGAGTCTGTTTTTTATGGATGATACCCGGTTTTGTCTTGCTAGCGTCTATGCCTGCTTGCACGCCATGGAATGTCGCGGATGGAAACGTTGTGGTGGGGGATCTGGACAAAATTCAAGAGAAGGGAGTGTGTTGTGTTGTGTGTGTGTACCATATTTTTACCTTGCTTTTTTTTTGTTGGTTATTTTTTCTCCCCTCTTAATTTTTGGCCGTGGCTCTGTTGGTTATTGTTGATGATGATGATTGCAGGCAGGCGGGCGTTGTGTTTTGTTGTTATTGAGATGGATGGATATGGAAGGATGGATGGAGGACAATCACCACCACCCCTATCGCTTAGAAAAGATCTTTCCCATGTTTGGAGAGTCGTTTTGAAATGTTTTTTATTTGGATATATTTTATTTCTCTTTTACATTACGGAGAACAGATGACGAAAAATGTAATTGTGATGGTAGTTTAGAGAGGTGGTAGGAGAATGTGAGCAAGCTGGAATTCTGAGGCTACCTGGTCTGTGACTGGGAGTGGAGGATGAAGAGCGAGTGAATGAGCAGGAACAGGGGATCTAACCGCGCCGCGAATAGTCAGGGGTCGGGGGGTCAGGTAGAGAAGCAAAACGAGGCCTTTTTTTTTTCTTTTTTTTTTTGCGCTCTGCAGATCTGAATTCGGGTGAGATCTTTTCCGTGAAGTGTTCCGTGTTGAAGGGTTTCATGCCTGTGTTTCGAATGGTGAGGGCTTGGGAAGGACGGGGGTGGGGTGGTGAAACGTGGGCAGGCGGGTATATAGGGGGTGACTTTAATCAGGTAAGGGGTCAGGGGCACTTGCACACATGTCTAAGCTCGTTTCCTTTTTTGGCTGCTTGGGTGAATGGGCTGCGTGTCTGAGATTCAAAGTAGTAGGTACATTGCAAGAAAGAGATGGGATGAACTGCTATGTGTTTGTGGGTATGTATTCCTCCCGAGTCGTCGTTAGTAGCTCTAACCTGGAATGCAAATAACTTCCAAGATGAGTGCTTTTGATGAATATACTTTTTATTTATTTACCATCATTGAATTGCTCGTCACACACGCTCCTTCTATGCACACGCTGCTTCTATGTACGGTGGGTGGACGTGACTGCCTTCTGATGGAATTGCAGCACACATATTTCCCATCAGCCTTTTGAGTTTCTCTCCCAATCTTCCACCGTCCACTAACATTCTGACCTCGACCAACCGACCAGCATTTTCAAAGAATACCGCTGCCGGACACTCCCATTGTCATGCTTTTCCCTCAGAGTCTGGTTCTGCCGGTCGCCAACGCCAGCAGCATGGCGACAGCAAGCCCTCTGACATCTTTCCCACCAACCCTCAATCCAGCTATTATGTCACCCTTGACCTGGGTACGCCTCCTCAACCAATACGCCTCACGTTAGATACCAGCAGTCCAGGCCTCTAGGTCTGGCCGCCGGCCAATATTATCGACACCAGCCCCCCAGGTGGCAATGGACAGGAACAGTACCTACCCAGTCGATCGGACACGGTGGAACTAGCAAAGTCTGCCATGTTTCCCATTAGTGAAAGCCACAAGCACGTCCCAACGGGCGACCCTTTTGGCCGAGGCAATCTCAAAGTAGATGTGCAAGGCACGATTTGGAAGGACACTCTACGTATCCCCGCCACACATGATGTATCGATTGAGGGCATGTCCATCTCAATTGGGATGCCCAGTTACAGTACTTCTTGGAATGCAGACGGCACGCCCGCTCCCAACAAAACCGGCTTCGTACCCGGCGTGTGGGGGGATTACG